CGCGCGTTTGACATGTACCCCCGCCCACACCCCTCGGCTTCCTCGCGAAGCTGTGTTTGCGCAGGCGCACTCGGGGGAGCGCGCAGTGCTCGGGAGCGGGGCTTCGTGAGGGAGCGCAGCCTCTCCAGCGCCGCCGAGCCGACGGGGTCTCCGGGGCGGCCCGTGGGCGGTGGGGCGGGCTGGGCGGCAACCAATCACACGCCAGGAGGCGCGCCTGAGGTGAGTTTGCGCAGGCGCACTGGGTATCTTTGCGCACGAAGGGGCGGAGCTTCGCGAGGAGCCTCAGTCGGCCAGCAGTGGGCGGAGAGAGCGGTGTCTCCGCGTCGGGTGTCTGAGGGGGACGGCGCGGCAGCCATGCAGGCCCCACGCGACGGCGCGGGCGGAGCGGCGGGCGGTGCTGGAGGCCATGGTGGCCGCGGCAACCCTTATGAGCGGGGTGTTCCTGGTGGCCCTGCTGCTCAGCGTGGTGTGCGCGGAGGCGGTGGTGCTGGTGCTGCACCTCTCGGGAGAGGGCGAGGCGGAGAACCCGCGCCTGCAGCCAGACGGCCAAGGATCCTAGTTCATCAATTGTATCTTTTAGCAGGAACGGACTGTGGCCAAGGAGTGTGGAGTGGGCCGGGGGAGCACGAGGGGTGAGGCTGTTCAGGAAGGGGCGCAAGTAGGGATTGGTAGCAGCTAGAAGGGAAAGGCCAGACATCAGGAGGAAGGTCAGAGGTCAGAGCAGCGCGCGCGCGCCCGTGTGTGTCTGTGTGTGTGTGTGTGTGTGTGTGTGTGTGTGTGGTGAGTGAGTGTTGGGGGTGGGGGACGGCCTGAGGGTGCAAGAGGCAGAGAAGAAGGCCGGAGGGGGTAGGAGGAGACTGGGCTAGGGAGACAGTGGCGGGGCCGTGGTTGGACTGAGGAGATGAACATGCCCCCGGGGCCTCCTGTGACTGGGCACAGGGGGTGGGGGTGGGGGGCTGTGAGCGGTCTGAGGGCTGCCTGGGGGGAAAGCAGGCCTGGAGGCTCGAGACCAGAGGCAGGCAGATGACTGGTCTGTTGTTGACAGATGGAACCTTAACCACTTTTGCAGCACCATGAGAGTGCTGTTCCTGTCTCCCATAGAGGCAGAGGTAGCCCGCAGGTCCCTGGCTCCTCGTGTGGAACCTCATCTGCATGCCATTCGGAAGGAACTGGCAGTGATCGGCAGCTTCCTGGTCGTGTCAGTTCTAGAAGGGCCCCTGGGCTGGGGGTGGCGGGGGCGGGATACGCTAAGAGCCCACCTCAGATCGGGGACTGTTTCAGTGGAGATGCGAAACCGCTCAGTGTGGGGTCTAAAGGGAGGGTGTGCTGGACCGGGTCTCGGCAAGAGTTCTCACTGCCAGCTTGATTTTCCTCTCCCCTCACTTTTAGGAGATGGACTGCTCGAGATACTCGCCTCCTTGGACTTTCCTTCACTTCCTTTCTTGGCCAGCTTTCCCTGGTGGTGCAGAACATGCAGCGCTTTGGACCCCTGTTTCCCCCTAAGTCTCTGCCAGGAAAAGGGGGCTGAAGCCCAACCTTGTGTCCCATGCCAGGCAGTGCTTCCTTTCCCAAGGCATTGATTCCCGCAGTAGATACCACTTTATTCTTGGAGTCTACTTTTTCTTTTTGGCCTATATGGGCCCATGGGTGCTCAGGGCCCATTTGTTTTGTTTCCTTGTTGCTGGGGAAGGGAGATGATTAAATGTTTGTTACTGCAGAAAATCAAACTGAACTACTATTCTGTGTCTGAGTGTTTTTTCAGCTACAGAATCTGCTTATTTACTTTCTTTTCTCCTTAGATTGGAGGGAGTGGAGGTCTGGGATTCAGATACTAAAGTAGTACTAGGCCATTGAAGACAATGTAGGAAGTGGGAGAAAATGAAAATTAATTAAGTCTTGCCACCCAGCACTAAATACTATCAACGTTTTGGAATATTTTCTTAGTTTTAAATTCTTTTCATTTAACATATGAGCCTTTCTCTAAAAATCCTTCCAAACCATGTTTTTGAATGGATGCATAAAAGAGGCATTATAATGGAATTGGTGACAGTTCAGATTGCTCTTTTTTTCTCGCTATAGGTAATGATTCAATGGACTCTTTGTACATGTCTTTGCGTGAATGGCTGTTTCCTCAAGATAGATTCCAAAAGGTAGACATACTGAGATAGAAGTTTATTTTTCTGTTTATTTTTTTTTTTTAGACTCTTGATCTGCAGCACACAGTGGCTCTTCAGAAAATGTGCTCTCCCGCCAGAATTCTGGTTTCCCCATGTCTGTGTCACCATTGAGTTAGTTTCCTGCCCAAATAAACTGAGTGTGCATGAGAAGATAGGAATTTTGTGGCTGACTGGCCTTGTTTCAGATCAGCGAAGAAAAGGGCTGGGACAATTGCTTGAGTGTTTGGGCACGGGAGTTAGCGCCCTCTAAAATACCCTGCAGTCTTGCTAAACTCACAGATTAGTTCTAGTCACTCTTTTGTAGATTCCATTTGACTTTCTCCATAGATGATCTTGTTATCTGGGAATAAAGGGAAGTTTTACTTCTTCCTTTCCAATCTGGATGCCTTTTATTGACTGATCTCTTTATAGTGGGCTGGGTTTTAGTTAATATTTGCATATCAAGTGTTTTTCTGATTGGATAACAGACCTTGTATAGTTTACCTTGGGTGCTATATGTTTTTGGATTTCTAAACATATTCTTGGACTTCATCCTCAAGTGCTGTGGTTGCTTGGAAACGACTTGATTCTTTAGAATCTTGCTTTTAAGATTTGCTACGTGGTACTAGGGCAGCTTTTTAGTGTAGAATTATCTTCCGACAACGGAGGCAAGACCCTTCTGAGTACCCTTCTGAGTGCCCTTCTGAGTGCCTCTTGAATGACAAGGTTCCCATTCTGGCCACTGGGGACGGGGGTCACCTAGGTCCTGCTGGAACACTGCACAAAGCTACCTTTCACCCTTTCTGGCAGCCCTCTCCCAGGCCTAGGGTAGTTTCCTCACACACTTTTGTTGCTCGGTGTCCCCTGAAGACTCAAGGGGGACCCTCTGCAGATCTCCAGCATCCTCTTGGCTTGCAGCTCTCGATCTACAGCATGCCGGGCTCGAGGGCCTGATTTCAGTGTGATCCTCCCTCCCTCACCCAGCAAAGCCCAGAATCAGTCTACTGCCTTGGCCTGACAGATGAACCAAAGCTGCTGGGATACTTTAAAACATGTCAGATCGCATCACGCTTCTGTTAAAAAGTCTCCAAAAGGGACTCTTGCTCAGGGACAAAGCCAAAGACCTTAGAGTGGACTGAGAATCCAGGTGTGGTCCAGCCCATTTCCCCTCTGACCTCACCCACTCCCACTCTGTCACATGCTCATTCTGGTTCAGCCACGCTGGCGTCCTTAGCCTTTCAAAAATGCCAGGCCCACTCTTGCCTCAGGGCCTTTGCCCTGGCTCTTTCCTGTCAGGAACTCGCTTCCCCTGGGTTCCAGCTGGCTTACTTCCTGATCTCCTTCAGGTCCTCAAAAGACACTTCCATCTCAGCAGAGGCTTTCATGGTGACACTGAAAATTGCATCCCGCCTTTCCCGCCCTCTGCGTCGCTTACTACCCCTGCAGTACCCCCCAGCTCTTGGAACAGTGCCTGCCTGGAACAGAATGGTCACAAACACAATCTCTCCATAACCAGGTCGTGACCTCAAGCCCAGGTCTTGTCAATTACCATACTCTTGGTCCAGAACATTTCCGGACGGCCCCAGTCTCCTTTCACCCTTCCTAACACATGGGGAATAAATGGTAGCTGGGAGCACAGTGATTGCAATGCACTTGGGACAGTAAAGAGCTGACAGATATGAAGGCGTTTGGGTGCTGTGAAGCCACTGGACGGTTTTGAGCCCCGCGGGGACAGGATACACTCTGTTTCTTACCAGGAGCCCAGTGCCTCCCATGTCGAGAATAGGCGGAGGGCGGCTGGGGCAGAAACGGGGACACTGGCTTCCAGGTAAGAGACAAGGGCGGCCTGGACCCGTCTAGGGGCCGTGGAGGTGGGGAGAAAGAAACAGACTGAATGGACCTGGAAGATGGAGCCACCAGGACTTGCTGATGGAGTGGCAGGGCCCTGGACCTCCTCAAATCCTCAGAAACCCTGCAGTGAGTCACCCTTCCTCCCGCACAGCGGGTCCAGCTGAGCCAGAGTCCAACCGTCTCCCCACCTGCTCCCACGTGCCTGGAACAGCCACCTCCCCCCACCCCCCGACAGAGGCGCACACCGGCTGCATTCTCGCAACTTTAATTGGAGGGAAAAAAAATTACATAGACAAAGAAATCCTCATGCAAGAAGGAAAAAAGGAGCAAACTGGGTGTCCAGGCCCACGGGACGGGGTCCGCTTCCTCAGAGGAGGCAGAAGAGCAAAGGAGTAAGGCACTGCCGCCTCGGCCCCGGCCCCTCGGGCAGGCCCAGGACGGGACAGGGCAGCGGAGGGGGAGGGTCTGGGCGCGCGCAGACCACACGGAGGGATGTGGAGGTCGGGCCCGGAGAAGGAGGGGCAGGCCCCGGACGGACGAGCCTGGTTACAGCTCCCGAGGCGCTCAGGGAGAACAGGGCCCTGGGAGGAGTTTCCAGTCCCATCCCCGAGAGGCTTGGAGGGGCTTCCTCGGCCCCCCCTTGGCACAGCCACCGTCGGAGGGCAGCTTCGGGGTCATCACCCACCCGGAGTGCTGCTGGTGCCCAGGCCCCCTCTCGGAGTGGGTGGGGGCAGCCCCGGCCAGGGTGAGGGGCCAGAGGCCAGGCCAAGGCTGACTGTCACAGGGGAGCCAGGGGGCGCACGGAGAGGAGGTGCGTGTATCTTGGAGCATCCCCGGGGAGGGCGTTGGGGGCGGGGATTCACAGATGGAGATGGTGAGGAGAGATAAATTAAATAAACAGGTGGTCGGGGTATAAATAGTAAAGGGGTCAGGGGCCGTCACGACGCCTGCGCACGAGGGCGGGGGGTATTGCTGCTGCCGGGGTGGGGGGCTTAGTCCTGTCACCCCTCCCCACACAGGGCCCAAGGCAAGGCACTAATGAAGGGGACCCGGGGCGCCGGGGGCATCTTGGCCCGATGTCCTTTCCTGCACCCCGGGTCCAGGGCTCAGCCCGAGACCCAGGCGTGAGACGCCCCCTTCCCGGGAGGGACGCGAAGACGGCTCAGGACTGAGAAGCCCCCTCCTCACCGGTTCCGCCACCCTTAGCTGTTGCCGGGCACGAGGCTGATGATCTGTTCCAGCTTCTGGCGCAATTTATGCTTCCGACAAGAGGCATCTCGGTCCAGAGCGGTGAGCACCTGGGGGAGGAGGGCCCGAGCTGGGCTCTCGAGGAGGGGTTGCCCCTCTCGGCCCAGCCCCCCCCCCACTCCCCAGCAGGAGTGCTGTCCCCCTCTGCCTCCCTCTCCCCACCGGGGCCCTGGGCACGTGGGCGGGGCTGCAACCTCGCTGAAGCCTCAGCAGACATCCTCCCGCTGCTCCTCAACCCCAAATCCTCCCCCAGTGCAGAACCTTCTCCTCCTGGCCACAGCCCGAGCGCAGCCCTGGGGGCCCTCCCAACCCCCTCGGACTCCGCTCTGCTGCCGGCTGCCCCTCTTCTCTGTCCCCTCTGAGTGTCCCAGGGCTCCCAGTGCTGGCGCCGCTTCTCCCTCTACAGTGGCCCATGCCCCCCACCCCTAGCCTGGTTCGCTCATCTGGGCTCAGTGTTTTCAGGGCCCTGTCCTGACTCACACGTTCT